CATCATCATCATCATCATCATCATCATCATCATCATCATCATCATCATCATCATCATCATCATCATTATTATTATTATTATTTATATAAAATTGCAATTAACCGTACATAATTAATTATTTGACCTTAACAATTTGAAAATGTTTAAATTGGAATACCCTTTTATATATAAAAAAAAAAAAAATTCGACTTAATAGATATATTATTAAATAATAATAATAATAATAATAATAATAATGATGATGATGATAATGATGATATATTTTGTAATAATTTTTTAATTTGTCACGTTGTCACGGGGATAATAAAACATTAATATATATAGAAAAAAAAAAAAAACGGTCGTGAAAAAGTATAAATTAAAAAACAAATGACATAATGATTTCGAAAAAAAGACCGTTATTTAGTTTTTTTTTATCTACCGCCACGTTTATATTTTAAGTAATAAAATCGGAGGTTATTTATCAATGCGATTCTTATTCCACGTTCGTTATTTTACGCACGTTAAGAACGAGAATAAGGCCAAGATGATGAAGATGATGGCGGCCTAATTTTTTAAATTTTGAAAAAAATATTAATTAATAAAAATCGATCGATCGATATATCGATATATCGATGACGTCGACGACGAGTGCGAATGATTTTCTTATTAACTTTCGACACAATCAAATAAATTATGCAAATGATAGGGAAAAAGAAAAAATAAAATTTTTTTAACGAACAGCGCCCATATTTAACGTAATTCACGTTGTGTTTGTGCGCATCTTACAAAACAATGTGGGTTGTTTGTTGTTTGTTGTTGTTGTTGTTGTTGTGGGCAAACTCGTACGTAAACGCAATTGATAAATTATGATAATAATGATGATGATGATGATGATGATAAAAAGCTCAATGAAACAACATACCTGATTTTATAAATCCTCATCATTATTAAGGTCTTTCGCATTGTTGGTTAACTTTTGGCCCAGTTTTATCATTGAATGCCGACGCATGTTTCATTTTACTCTGGAAAAAAAATAAATAAAAAAAAAATTAATTATGTACACGAGGACATTTTTATTAACAATATTCTCTCGTGGTATATGATAATAATAATAATAATAATAATAATAATAATGAAACTCGTTTTTTGTGTTTATTATAAATCAAAATTAATAAAAAAAAAAAAAAAAAATTATGTATTATTATTATCGTAATGTGGTATTAAATGCAAAACATTATATATACATATATATGTTATTGAGTAACGTAATTAATATTTTGTGTGACGTCACGGAAAAAACAATTTTGTTTGCATAAAACATATTTTTTCAATCAAATCTTTTGAAATATTAATTTTATTTAAATAAAAAATCAAAGGAAAAGTTAAGGAATTAAAAAAAAAAAAATTTTTTTGGAAAATTAAATTTAACGCTGCGTTGAAAGAATTAACGAATAATAATAATAATAAATAACATCGTCGTTAATAGTACTTCCGAAAAATCGCCGGAAAAACAACACAAATTGAGCATATAAGAAAATTCAAATTGTAAGGACGTGATAAGGAGTGAAAATGGAGAAAAACATTTTGGATATCTTGGAAAGACCGGAAGTCATGCCAAAACGCTGGAAAAACTTCGATAATGATTAAAAAATTGATTGATTAATATTAAATATCGATAATCAATTAAATTATTTATGTCGTTTACAAACTGGAAACGATTTTATATAAAAAAAATTAAATTATTATTATTATAAATAATAATTTACATTAATCGTGACGACAACAATTTGAAATCTTAAATAAAAAATTAAGAAATAATAAATATTACACACTAACAACTCCAGCCTGGAAATTTCCCAAAGATAAAAAGACGATAATAATAATAATAATAATAATAATAATAATAATAATAATAATAATAATAATAATAATAATAATAATAATAATAATAATAATAATAATAATAATAATAATAATAATAATAATAATAATAATAATGGAAATAATTAAATCTCCATTAAAAACATTTACCAACATTATTAACGAAAAAAAAATAAAAAATAAAAACCTTTAAACGTAACGTATTTTTTTTTCCAGTCAAATTATTATTATTATTATTACTTAAAAAAAAGGCCCCGAAAAAAAAATTATTTTATTTGCTCCAATTGTCAACCTACAAAGTGAAAAAACAAAAAAAAAAAAAAAAAAAAAATCCAATGCCAAGTAAACGATAAACTTTTATTAACCTTAACATTAAAAGGTCTTTTGTGGTTGTTGTTATTGTTGTTGTTGTTAACCATTTGCCAATGTTACGACATTTTGCAAATTATTAAAACGAAAATAAATAAAATAATAATAATAATAATAATAATTATTATTATTATTGATGTAATAAAAATTTTCAATAAATCAATCGTGAAATTTAAAAAAAAAAAAAAAAATTTATAATTTTTCTCCTCCTACTCTTACTCTTACTCCTACTTCTTCTTCTCCCCTCCTATCCCCTTTCCCTATCGAATCCCTCATTCAATTATCCTGATTATTTTAAATCGAAAAAAAAAAAAAAAAAAAATCCTGTAGTCGATTCGATTATCAATAATAATCGTAAACGGACCGAAACGAAAACAATTAATAAAAAAAAAATCCCGTTACGTAATATATATATGTATATCAAATCGAAATCTATTTAATTTAATTATAAATGTGTGCGTGAGTGCGTGAGTGCATGTGCGTGCATGTAAATAAATATGGCATTATGACGAATGAGAGAGAGAGAGAGAAAAAAAAACAAAAAGCAATGTTAAAAAAAAAAAAATTTTTAGAGTCGTTCGTTATTTCGAAATATATCCCATCATTATTATTATTATTATCATCATTATTATTATTATCATTATTATTATTATTATTATCATTAATATTATTATTACCATTATTATTATTATTATTACTATTTTCCCGGAGACAGAACATTTCACGGAGAAAGTTTGTTAGTTTACATAGCAGCCCTTTTTAAAAAGTAATAATAATAATAATTATTATTATTATTAATACAAATTATAATAATCTATGGTTTCTTTTATTATTATTATTATTATTATTATTATTATTATTATTATTAATATTAATATTATTATTATTATTATTATCATTAAAATTTTTTTTAACGACGATTGTGCAATTAATTATCAATTAATTATGCACGCCAATCATTTAAACATAATTTTTTTAACAAACAAAACTTTTTTTTTTTTTTTTTATTCAAACATTAAATTGCAACATTTCTTTTTTTTTTTTTTTTCCAATATCTATTGATTTTAAAAAAAATCAATAACGCGTTAAAACAAATCGATTTAACGATCGTAAAAAAAAAAAAAAATTTTTCCATTCAAGTTCATTCAATAATTGAATATTGTGAAAAAAAAAAAATTAATAACACGACCGTTGTGAAATACGTGCGGGGGAGACGGAGGGAGAGGCGAAGGGGAGAAGAAGAGAGGAGGGGAAAAGGTTGTGCGTATATAAATAAAAACAGGTACGCGCTAATTTTAAATAATCCATTTAAAAAAAATTCGTCGTCGTCGTCACGTTTTGGGCGTATTAGAATATTTTAAATACAAAAACAAAACTTTTACATTATGTAATTAATATCGTAATTAATAAAAGAGAGAGAGAGAGACACGGGGGGCGGGGGGTAGAGGCGATAGGGGGAGAAGAGAATAATAATAATGATTTTTAACGTATTGAGAAATTGTTTTTCTAATGCGTGTGTGCGTGAATCGCGTAAAAAAATTCTCTAAAAAAAAATAATATAACGAAAATGTAATAAATTCGTGAGTTCGACCGGATATGAATTCATTTAAATCCGTGACGTCATTAACTCCAGATTTTTAAAACGGATTTAATTCGAGCCAAGAGAACAAGAGAAAAGGGTTTAAGGTGGGGGGGGGGAATGTACCTTTTTTTCATTCAACGGCTAATAAAATAAATAATACATAAAGTTTTTAACGATTTAAATAGAAAACTAGAAGGACAAGTGGTATAAAAAGAAAAGACAATTAATAAAGGCATGCGTACAATAAAAAAAAAAAATTACGTAATAAAAATTACATTGTGAGTTTTTTTTTGGTTTTTGACGACGACGCCTTGTTGTGTGTGTGCGTACCTGATGATACCTGACTTTTTCCTTTTCAAATGCCACTTATAAAATTACAACATTTTTTTTTTTTTTTTTAAACATCTTTTTACTCATCACGTAACGTTTTTTTTTTTTTTTTTTATTGACATTTTTATCTATGTATTTTTTGGATTGTTTGTTCCGAGAGACTAAAATACTCGCACGTAAGAAAGTTAACGATTACCACCAAGCATCCCATCATTATTATTATTCGAATTCGAATTCGATTAATCGGGTGATGATCGATAATCATCATCTATCGATCGATCAATCGATCAATCGACAATGATCTTCAAATACCACACCTAACCGATCGAACGTTTTCGAACACGCACACACGCACACACACACACACACACGAATTCCAGCCAAGGTTTTCCACCCATTTCAAATATTTTTTGTTATTTAAAGGCCGAATTTTCCTAATTAATAAAAACTAGAATCTAAAAATTTATATTTTTAATTTAAATTTAAAAAAAAAAAAAAAAAATTAAGTAAATTATAAAATGTCAGATGCAATTTATTATCTATAAAAAAAAAAAAAAAAAAAACGCATCGAAATAATTTAAATTTTTAATCGCGCCTAATAATAATTCCCCTAAATTTTTCGTGTACGTTCAGAAAACATGGATTCGTTGTCGCCATTTTATATAAAATCGTTATTTGTATTATTTAAAAAAAAAAAAAATTCATTTAATAATCGATTCCATATTAAATGTTAAATGACCCATTTTTTAAGCCAATAAAATTTAATTACGTCATAAATGAATTTTTTATAACGAATTATAAACAAATTATTATTATTATTATTTAAAAAAACACGTTTTTGTTTTTTTTTTTCCCGATTCCAACAGGTTTATTATTACGAGTTAATAAATTTGGCGGTAAAAATTAAATTTAAATAAATAAATAATAATAATAATAATAATAATAATAATAAAATAAATCGATATATAAATTTATATCCGTGACATAATAATAATGATGATAAATTAATATTTTTTAAATATTTATCATATTACGCGACGTTTTAAGTTGTTTTTTTTTTTTTTTTGGAGTTCCCCCCTCTCTTTCCCCTCCCCCTCTACTCCGCTAAATTAATTGTAAAAGAGAATTGAATGATTTCATTCTGACATCTTAATTCGAAATCGATTAAAACAAACAAACGTTAGAAAATTAAAATGTTTTCAAGTATCAACTTGTATCTACAAGTTTTCTATTAATTGATTTTGTTTATAACTTTCGTTAATAAACTTTTATGTTTTTTTTTTTTTTTTGTAACAAACAAACAACAAACGAATCATTTTCGAATTCTAATACCTGACTTGCATTTTGAAAGAGAGAGAAACCGGATACCTTAAAAATTTTTTTAAACAAAATCAATCGATATAACGATAAAAATAAAAACAATTGTCTTTAATTAAATTATTTGTTATTATTATTATTGGTTAAATAAAATAATTGTGATATACGCGTGTGATTGTCGTTATGAACTTTTGATATCATGAGAACCGACCAATAGGCTAACTTATTGATATCTTATTTATCATTATTAATAAAAAAAATTTATTTTAATTTCTATCACTCTCGTTATGGTCTTTTATGCGTAGGGAAAAGGAGAAAAAAAAAAAAAAAAAAAAAAAAAAACTTTTTTTTTTTTTTAATTTTTTTTTCTTTCTTTCTTTCTTTCTTTCCTCTAATTTTTTGGATGAATTATTAATTAGAAACAAACAACAAACAACAACAAAAATAGGGCAAAGTAAGTTATTGTACATACACACACACAAAAAACAAAATTTAAACGTGTCGCAAGTTTGTTAAAAAAACGTGATGATTCGACAACGACAACAACAACAACAATAACACGTGGAAAAAAAATCAACATTTATTTTTTTATGATTAGTGGAAGTGTTACCAAAAAAATATTATTATCATTTTTTTTTCAAATCGCCTTTTCCGCGTTTTATGTTACGTAATTCGCAAAAAAAAAAAAAAAAATGTTAAGTGCATTGAATAAGTGTTTGAATATTCTAAATTATTATTATTATCATTTTGTGAATCGTAAAGTTCGGTAAAAAAAAAAAATTATTTATGTATCGCGATATGGATTAACAAATGCCAAAATCAAAATGGATTCCTCGTGAAAAGTAGTAGTGACATTATTTCAAATTTCACTTTTCGTCTTGCACAAATTAAACCCCCTTTGTGATAATTCTATTTATTATTATTATTATTATTATTAATATTATTAATAAATGGCCGATTAAATGTCTGACAATCTGACAAAATCGATAGAAAACTTTCGAATCTACAACTACATCGTACATGCATTTTTTTTGTTATTGTTATCATTTGATGTGAAATTTAATAATAATGTCGATCATAACAATCAACCTGACAAAAATGTTTAAACTTGCAAAAAGAGAGAGAGAGAGAGAGAGAGAGAGAGAGAGAGAGAGAAGAAATTGATGATTCACAAAAATTACAAAATAATATTTTTTCAATCACAACAACCTTTAATTCATTGAATAGTCGTATGAATTGTAAATAATTTTTTGTTACTCTATGACCTGCATAAGTTGATTGTATTATTATTATTATTATTATTATTATTATTATAATCACCTTGAAAACAAAATTACAAATAATAATTTTTTTTTTTTTTAATAACGATATGTTGATAATAATAATGCTTGTTGTCAAAAGACAAAATTGAAATTTCGCACTTTCACGATATGTAATGCAATAATAATAATAATAATAATAATAATAATAATTTTTTCTTTCTTTCTTTCTCTCATTTCAGGTCCTTAAAATTTGATTTAATAATAAAAAGAAAAAGAAATGGAAAAATTTATGAAAATATTTTTAATCCTCGGATTAACACAAACGAATTTTTTATTAAGCGCACGTGATCAACAGAATGCAATTGATGAAGCAATAAGAACGTTATTAACGGATACATCGGAATCTTGTCCCGGATGTGGAGATTTTCAAACGGAAGTAGTTGATAAAGAATTGGCAACGCTGCGAGTTGAATTCGTTAAACAGCAAATATTGAAAAAATTAAAATTAAAAGAAGTACCAAAAGTAACTCTACCGAGAAACAAACTTCCAATTCCTATACTCACAAAAGGAATGTACCACGGATTGTTAAATAAAAATTACAACGATGCCAATTTTCAAGTGGACGATGATTTTTTTGGAAAAACAAATCAAGTCATACTATTTCCAGAAGGTAAACAAACAAAAAACAATTTTTCATACTTTATTATTTAAATCGATTTATCGATCGATCGATCGATCGAATATGCATCGATTAGCATAATCTATTTTTACACTTAATGGATTGACGCAAATATCGAAAAAGCAAAAAAAAAACAATAAATTTTTGCTGACGATAATAATTTTCGCCGTCTTATCAATCTAACGTAACAAGTTTTGTACAAACAAACAAACAAAAATTTTTTTCTAAAAACCTGAAAAAACTTTCTCCTACTTGAAAATTTTTCGATTCGAGTTATGTTTATTTTTCGATTATATTTATACCTAGTTTCATAACTAATCAAATCATCGACTCCCATTTAATTTCTCCTCCTCTTTTAAATAATAATAATAATTATCATCGCGTTATCACAATCATTCACCGGAGAGAGAGTTAGGGGTAGTGAGGGGGGGGGGAGAGAAAAAAATCTTAACATCTCTTACCTGTTCGTATGTGTGCTTGAGGAAAAAAAAGAAAATTATTCGGTATTTTCTATAATAGCGTGTGAGTCCCTGCCTTGACGTTATTTGAACTTTGACCTTTTATCCCTCTCTTTCCTTTTATAATAAGCTGTTGTTGTAGTAGAATATATGCCAACAAGTATAAAATGAACTAATCTTTTCAGCTCTCCTGCTTCTTTTTTTATTTACATAGAAAAAAAAAAAAAAATGTTTTAAGTAATGTCATAGGTCAAGTGCTTCTGGATTTTTTTTTCTTTTTTTTTTTTTTTTAAATTATTTTATAAACAACATTTAATAATAATAAAAAAAAATTTTTTTTTTTTTCACGGTGCTACTTCCTTTTTTTTTTTTTTTTTTACTGCACTCTTAAATATTAAATTTCATTCAATCGATTTGAATGATTTTTCTTAACGTGATGTTAAAGATCATCATTACGATCAATTTTATTATTATTATTATTATACATAAAAAACGAATCGTTTTTTTTTTAAATGTCTTTCAATCTTCATTTAGCCTTTATTTAAAAAAAAAAAAATGCAGTAAAAAAAAAGAAAAGAAAAGAAAATATAAATTTTTTTTTTTTTGTTATTAATTTTCATTAGAGTTTATTATTATTATTATTATTATTATTATTATTATTATTATTATTATTATTAGGTATGAGGGCGTTCAAACATTTTGTATATACCCGAGTGTTAAATCCCAGAAAGGTTTTCCCCCCCCCCTTCTATAATTAAAAAAAATCCATTTTTTTTTTTTTTTTAATCCCAATCGGCCGGCAATTTTTTCTTTAAAAAAAAAATTTTTTTTTAATTGGACCCCATTTGGTGTCGCTTTTTTTGGGCCCCATAAATTTCAAAAAAAAAAAAAAAAAAAACTCGTCCGAAACCAATAATAATAATAATAATAACAATTTTTTTCTTATTCGCGTAATAATAATAATAATATGATAAGGATGATAATGAAATCGTTAATGGTGTGTATGTACGTATGTATCCGTTTTATGCCGCAGATTATTTTTTTTTTTTTATATATATTTATCTAATTATATTTATTTATATATATATATATATTTATGTGTATATATGTCGTGTATATATATATATAAACAAACACGCGTAGTAATTGTGAATAAAATGAGTCATTTGTGCCATTAATTCGGGTTT